CGCCCCGCGCCGCTCAGAGCACGACGGCCTCAGGCACCGCCGCTGCGGGACCCCGCACGGTGGCGGCGGCAAGGGGCCAGCCTCGGAGACGTGCTTCGGGTCGGCTGCTTTTTTTTATGCGGGGGGGTCAATTTAGTTTTTTTGGTTTGTTTTTTTTCTTTTTTAAGGACAATTTGAAACAGGAAAATGGTCGGAAGAGCATACGAATTTCGCCAATAATTCGTTGACGAGGTCACGTTAAATATTTGGCATCCTCTGCACTTTTTCCTCCTTTCCTTACCGAGAGCGTGCTCAGAGGCGTTTGAAATTGTAGCGGCCACTGAGGTGACAGAAAAAAAAACACTCCGAGCGAGGTGTTTTAGGTAAATTATTAACTTCTCGTGGTCCAATTGAGTTGGCAATTAGCATCACTTGCCTGAGGGTTCGTCATACTCTAATGCAGCAGTGTGCGACCGGTTGTTCTGCTACTGCAACCCAGGGTCTCAGAACAGAAGTGGCGTTTAAATCTGCAAGCTGACATACATCACAGCCAAAGTTCACCTCCATGTGCGTACACAGCGATACATGGACAGCCTTAATAGAACACCAGACACGTTCGACAGCACGGGGTAAAATCCAGCGCCTTGGAAGGAGACCGTTTTTTTGGCAACCATTCCCCCTTTTGCCATGATGTATATTAGGCCTGTAGACTTGCAAACTGGAAAGAGGCGTCATGCATTATTCGTTCGTCTAGTTGTTTTGAGGGTGAGTAGGATAGGCAAGGGAACATCGCAGACAACCCACCCTCTGCCCCTACCCAGCGGAAAAAAAACCCCAAAACTCTTATATCCAATTGATGGGCACCAGATACTGACCTTCAGGTCTCTGTGAACTATGCCATTTAGATGACAATGATTAACACTTTCTAGAATCTGCTGTATACAATGACTGCAAAGATACAAGGGCAGAATGGAAGGGAGAACATTTTAAAGGCACATAATCACATTAAATACAAAATAAAATAAAACTTAAAAAAAATATAAAGAACAAAAACAATTTTACACCTCCTGACAAGTCTTGATTGCACATTGAACTGGAACAAAACAATGTTGAATATAGAGATATTTCCAGCTCTAACACATCCAAAAACCAAAGCAAAACAAACAAAAAAACCCCCAAACAAACAAACAAAAAAAACCAAAACAAAACCAAGAAAAACATTTAACATGGAACATATAACAACTATGAGACAGAATCATTAGATTGTATTTTCATTCAGCAGTATGGAAACTTCTTCCAGTTTCCAAAAACTGCTATAGGAAAAATAAAGTGGAGGCAATAAAAAAATTAGTGATATGATTTGGTTTTTTTAAATTTTTACAGTGAAGTTAACATTACAACGAGTGCTGAAACAAGAAAATGCTCAGAAATGAAATGATAATACAGAAAACAAATGAAACAAAAAAAGTCAAAAGCTAAGGAAAAGCAAAACATTTCTCATTTTGAACCTAACGGTTTCTTAAAAACTACTAGTAGAATAAAGCCAAGTCATTCAAAAAGGTGGCATGCATTTTCATTTAAAGTATCATCAAGAACTAGTTTAGTTAGGAGTCGCTCATGAAATGGAAAACCACATTAAAAATGTAGACAAACGTTTTACTTTGGTGCTTCAAATAATTTAATTAGCACCTATTTTTCCATGCCCAGGTTTGCAAGTTTTGGCCAGCCTACGATGCCAAAAAGCACAACTATTTATCTTTTAGAACACTGGAACTTTTTCAGGTGTTTTTCGGCACCACAAGAGTTTATAATTTTTTTTTTTTAAAGATATCCTTGTGGCAGAAGTCAGTGACTGTAAGAAATCGGTAGTAGTCAAGGGCCAAGGATTTGATACTGCTCATCCAAAATATTTTGACTGTGGAGTTCAGAAGGAATGGTCATAAATCAGTAACTGGAGCCCAAGCCTGAAAACCCTTTCTTATGCGAGTAGTTCACAACTCACTGAGCTGGACTGCTTGTGTGAGTAAAGACTACTTGCGTGAGTAAGGGCTTGCAGGAGCAGACCAGTATTAACAGTCCTAGGATATGCATCTATAAAGTCCATTGACTACTTCTATAGGGATACACACACACATACGCACTATATATATAGAGATATATATATACACACACACGAATATATATATATAAATATATAAAAACACAGAGATGCCTGATAACTAGGTACTTCACTTATTTGGTCAAGTTTATACTGAATATATAAAATGCATATATATATCCTATATATATATATATATATATGCACAGCCCCTTCCAATACATCATAATTCTAGAACAGAAAAGAGATTGTTGCAATTTTTCCTTTTAAATCACACGTATCTTAAAAACACACAATGACACCATATGCTGGCCTTTGGCATCAATATTAGAAATTTTGCTTGAATCACACAGCAGGCAAAAAAAAAAAAAATTCAAAAATGTTTTAAACATAGCCCCTCTCCATCCACCCCACCTAAATTATTAATGTTGTTTTCTCTTCTACAGTGTGTTTTGCTACGTGTTGTTCCACATTTAAATGCTTAAAGTAATGATGTTTCCACCATTCCTACAGAAATTAGCAAGAGCAATAAACAGTGGAAGCTTCCTAATACTTAGAGTAACTTCTCGTTTGTTCATTATTATCCTACCACTGTTGTTAGGGTCACTTAGTGCTTTCCGTTCATCTGCCAATTAATTCCAAATGTAAAGGAATAACTGAAAATTATACGTACTAAATATGGACCAATGGTGGTGTGTGACTATGAACACACAAAAATATGAGGATTCTTTAAATTTACCTTGAGTTAAATTTTCTGTAAAGAGTGTAGTGGTAGAACATATTTTCCTTAAAGTAATCAACCACAATATTTAAGATTTATTATTATATGAGGGCAAACAGATTCTGAGATGGGAAAATGGCCCTGATACTTTATGTCAGCATGCAAATTATGATAATTGTCAACTTATTCTTCAAGTTTTTCAACAAGCACTTGCAGAAAATTGCTAGAGATTTCAAATTTGAGCTCAGACTATGAGATGCACAGTATAATTGCTTATAGATGAAACACAACAAAATGTTTAAATATGAAAGGAAATTAGTACTTCTGGACTGAGAACAAAAATTATATTGAATGTAAAAGTCTTTCAAGACCACCATATATTTCAAACTTCGATCAGCAAATGTAAGAATCCCTAGATGAGATAGCTGAAATGTTATGTCCAGTTTGCAGAGGAGAAAACTGGGTGAGATTTTAACAACTTCACAAGTTTACAAAGATTTTAACAAATTGAGATCCAATTTCAGCCTTTTCAGACCCAGAGATGTCAAGACTTCATACTAGTTCACCACCACACAGTCGTGAGCTCAAAATGCCAAACTGTGCCCTTCCAAGTCTAAGAGAACTCTAGCAGAAATCCTAGAGTCTCACAGACAGTGCTAGTGAAACTGATGCCAAACACCATGAGATATTTAAGTAACTATCCTAGAATTATTAAAGGCCACATTAGAAAAACAAATTACTTACCTGGCATCTGCTTCACTATAATATTCTCTTGCAACTATATCTTCAAACAATTCACCTCCAGTGACTCTGTTAGAAAAAGCAAGGTGAGAAAGGAGATTTCAGAATGGAAAACGTGCATCTTAAATTAACTTGACAGGGAGAAGTCAGAGAGGAGTAACTGAAACATTTGTACAGAAATGCAAGAGGTCTTGACCAGCAAGGTGAAGGAACTAAAGTCGCAAGTTTGTCCATCCAAATCATTACATGAATAAAAAGGATGTGGTGGAAGAACAATCATAACCGGAAAATAAAAGCAAAGAGCAGCAGCTTAGTGGGCAAGATGCCATACATCAGTTAAGATATGTCAGGAATAAATAGTAAAACTGCAAGAATAAAGGGAACTGACCAGCAAGGAAAACTGTGGCTGAAATTCAGAACAGTTCAGGATAAATTGAGAACTGCAATGTAAGGTAGGTGTAAGAAAGGAGAATATAATAATGCTAAAAAGAGAAAAGGGACTTTAAGTGTAGGTCAAAACACAACAGAGGTGTACCCATGTGCCTGAGTGGCTTGCTTTTTGTGCTTTTGCTAGAAAGAGCATTATTACCGAGTTGGACGGAGAGTATCAGTAGAAGCAGAGTACCTTAATCAGTTTAATGGCAGATTTTTTTCCTAGAAAATTTTCAGCTATCTTTGTTGAAAAAGTAGGAATAGTTTAGTGAAAGTGCCACTTAAAATAATTTAAGAGGCATTAATAGTACAAGGGAAGAACTGTATGATCCAGAGGACCAGTAACAGAAGCAACTGTGTATGGCTGCACGCTTAGGATTTCACTGTACAACCAGTGGTTTAATAGTAGGAATTGGTTAAAAAGAAATAAAATCATGTTGTTGTTGTTGTAAGCCAAAGACGACAGTCCAGAATGAGTCACCAGCAGGATGCTGCCACGGTCTTGGAATGCATGTGAAATAGGATGACAGCAGTGACCTTAGATACAGCAGTAAAATCCCTCCTCGTACCATACACAGTTCTGGTCACTCATGTTCAGAAAAGGGAATTGAAACAGCAATATGAGCAGAAAACTGCTACTAGGCTATCCACTCACTCATCATATCTTCTCAGAGAAGCAAAGTCAGTTTAGCTCTGGTTGCCTGATTTGTACTCTCTCTCTCTTTTTGCTTTTGTCTTCTACCTTCCAGAAACTGGCTTTGGTTGCTGTTACACAAAATGTTTGATTGACGCATATTTTGACAGTCTTTGATACCTCCTTTTTGCATATATGTTTGTCTACAACAGTTCTGGTAAAGAGGAATAATTCTCCCTTTGAGATGAATGAAAAAAACAAAGCATCCTTTGATCTTATTCTTCCCTAAAACACTCATTTTTGATCCAAGCCAAAAAAGAAGAGAATAAGCTTTAGTCATCAAAGTGCATTTCAGTGGGAGAGAACACCAAGCTGATGCTTGTTCTTCTTAAGCACACAGAAAAGATGGGGATATGCATTCTTATTCGCTGGCACTAAACATTTGCTTGGCATTCATAACCATTGTTAAACGATGAAAAAATAAAAACAAGAACAGAGCAGGTGAATTCCACTGACAACTGAATGAGTAGTCAAGAATTCCCACGCTCTGTCATTCTGAAGGATACATTAGGAATAATCCTCAGAAGACAGATAAATGGCCATAATGAAGGAGGGTAGCGCAGGGGACTAAGACAGGCCAGAACTCACTTGCATCTCCTGAGCCTCTGACTCTTGAGAAAATTGCTATAGCTGTGTTAGTGGCCTTTGCTCACTGAGCATACATGGGCAATGTGCCCTTGCAGCAAAAAAGGTCAACTGCACAGCCAGCAGGTTGAAGAAAGCAATTCTTCCCTTGCATTTGGTACTCGTGAGATCACACCTGGAGTACTGTGTCCCCATTTGGGCTTCCCAGTATGTGAATGACACCAACATAATGAACTGTGTCTAACGGAGGGCCACCAAGACCGTTAGAGTTGGAGGCACGTGGAGAAGCTGGGATAATTGAGTTTGGTCACTGTTACGACAGGAAGATTCAGGGGAGATCCCATTGCTGTCTACAGCTCTCTAACGGGTGGATACACAGAGACAGCATGAAGGGCAACAGACAAGCTGAAACACCAGAAATACCAAATATAAGGATTTTTTCTTTCCTTATTGTTATTATAATTATTCACTATGCACTTGTTGCTCAAAGAGGTTGTGGAATTTCCATCCTTGAAGATGTTCCAACCTTGACAAATATCTGAGCATCTTGATTCAATTGGACCTTGTTCAAGAAGGGGGTTAGACCAGATAACCTCTAGGGATCCTTACCAACCTACATTATTCACTGATTTTATAAATAAAGAACAGAGCAGTTACCAATAAACATTTTATGCTCTATACAGTTATAATACCAAAGTGGCTACAAAGCATTCTACTCCTTATTAGATGTCACTTTGCTAGGTGGATTTTCTCCCCTCTGTATCTTCAATTATGAAACACGATGGCTAGGGAAGGACCCAAGATACCTATCATGAATACAAACTACACACATAGAAGAGGTCCTTAGTTATGAGGTTCTCCTTGGCTAGCGAAGGCCATGACCTGAAACAAAAGTGTGATGTACTCTTTGGAGATTGCATGGCTCTGTGCTACTGCTCCGTTACCAGTAAGGGCGCCGAATAGCCTTACATGGAGAGGTGTGCTGAAATCAGAAGTCTTGGAGGTTTTGCCGATCAACAGAAATACTTAGGCTGATCTCTGAAATCAAATTACAGAAGGCAATTAAAATAGAGGACTTACTTATAGTTTGACTGCTGCTTCTGTTAAACGTTTAGGGTTTTTTTTCCCCTATGCTGAAACAATGAAAAACTGATAATCATACCATTCGGGTGGGGTGGGAATCATACACAGATTCTAGTCTGTGTACTTAAGTTAGAAGGCAACTACCAGCATAGTTAGATCTACAAATATATCCAGGTAGGCTATATACAATGTAAGTGAAGACTGTAAAGCAGAGGGTAAAAAGTAAAAAAACCCACAACTTTGGGCCGTCACTATAAAGCTACATGAACAGCTGCCAAGCTACTTTCTCCCCACAAGATTAAAATGGGAAGTAAATGGAACTCAATGCCTTTCTGATACAGATATGTTGTCAACTTCAGTGACGTCTTATTTCGTGACAGGACATTCATTACATGAGCTCTAGTAACTTTCAGGGTACAAATTAAAAGCCACTGGTTCTCACAAATTATTATTAATCTTTTGTAATTTTCTGAAGAGCATACTGAAATGACAAATAAAGTACATGGGTTTGATTAAACAAAAGAAGTACAAGCAGCATGTAGAAACACCAAGGCCCTCTGCACCAGGTATGTCTTTCAGAAAAACTGCAGAGAGAGGGGCAAGCAGAAGGATTCCATGTACAAAGGATGCTACTTCTATTTACCTCTCAGAAGAGGTACCGTTAGAAACAGTTTTCAACTGCTTCTTTCAACTGACTTTCTATACTCACTAAAACAAATTACTGCATTTCTTTACAGTGTTAAATGCCACATTTCTTTGTTGCAAACATTCGTAACACCACATACAAAAATACGCAACTTCATGTACCACATTTGACCGATTAGAGAATTTACAAATATAAGAAGGTATTTAAAAGGAACTCCCAAATTAGCAAAGGTAGCTAAAAAAGCCTCTGCTGATGATCACATTGGTGTTGTTTCCTCCCAGCTTCTATTTCTTAATTCTTAAACTGCTTTCACAATGAAGGTGAGAGGAAGCAATCTTACAAAATTACAGTGGCCATATACTTTTTACATTTATCTGTGAGCTTTCTACTTCCAAAAAGAAAGGTTCGGGCACTTCCCCTAGGCAAACATTGTTCTGCAATTAGGCTTTTTTTTTTTTTTGTATTTTTGTTTCTTCTACACAGTACAGTCCCTCCACTTGGGATTCAACAGCGACACCAGGGTTCTAAATGTACCAATTGTTGCATCTCATCCAGTGCATTAAAATGGGAGACACTGAAAAAAGAGAATCTCATTGACTTGCACAAGAGAGTCTTCAAGTGCTACAGCTGTTTCCATTCAGATACAGCAATTAATACTGACAGAATTCATTGGATTTGAACTCATCTAGCATCATTAACGCTGAAGACAACCTCATTCGTGCTTAGCAACTGAAACGGGCTGATAGGGACACGCAAATCCTAACTACAATTGCCTTAACCAATAAGGGAAGAGGAGCAAGAAACTTCATGAAGCCCATTCCTGATCTTACTATGCAGATTTTATTAATCCGCAAATCACTTCACTATAACTAGTGAGAGAAACATAAAAGGAGCAAGTCCTTTGCTTGGGAGAAGTATCACAGAAGGCTACCTTTGTTTATTTTCTAAAATAAGTAGAAGCCATATTGGTAGATCAGTAAGATGCCTCTGTTCCTTGGCAGTGACATCAACGAGACCTTGAAAATCACTACTTTGCCTAGTCAAGTGCAAAACTACCACCATATTCCAGAATGACATCACCATGCATATATTTCAGAGATGAGGAGTCAGCAACCAAGGATAAATTTTGTGTGTGGATGCGTGTGTGTGTATGATACGTCAATACTTCAGTGCATCTATTTCTCTTATATGCAGGGCTTCTTACAGGAACACCCTGATACCGCATTTTGTCAGAAAGCACATATTTCATTGTTCAATGTCCAGTTTCCACGTGGATTTTAAAAGACTTCCACTAGACACTAGAACTCCTCACCCAGATGCATGCCTGTCACAGAGCACGTTAATCACTTTTTTCCACAAAATAAAAGCACAGCTATCACTGAGGTATACAAGCAAAGCAACAGGCTTCTCCTTCGATTTGCAGGCATCTCTATGACATTAATTCAAAAGAGATTATTAGAAATTCAAAATAGCAGGTGACAATGATTGGGTTTTTTCTATTCACAGAAAAAGCACTCTTCCTCTTCACGTTCTGATGTGGGATGCAGTCTAAAAGAAATTTCTAAAAAAAAACAGTTGTACTGAATCCCACACAGTCTGAAAGAAATCATTAAGATAATGACATAATGGTATGCGTGGGTGGAGTGACAGTGTTACACCACAGTCAGGCTCCTGTTGAATAAAAATTAAATAAATAAATAAAAGCATGTACTTGGCCTTCATATTAAAGAAGTCCATATGGTACATTTTTTTGTGGCAAGTCTTTTATGTACATTTAAACAAGCCACTAACCCACATATTTTTAACTGCAGTAAAAGATGAAGTTTCACTAATAAATAGTATTAGTGAGCATTAAAGCAGTAATTTCTTAGTCTGAATTAAAAATGAACTGTGAACAGCCATCCTTACAAATTAGGCAAAAGTTCTTCAAGAATGCAACATGATGCTTTTCCAAAGACAACTAACAGTCAGTACAGTCACTACTTCTACCAGTTAGCCGTTTTCTTTTTTGCAAAATAAGTCGTTTTGACAAAAACCCCAAACCACATGATCAAAACATAAAAAGCTGTGTGTGTATATATATGTGTGTACATATATAGATATATATGTATATATATGTTGAAGCCCTCTTTTTTTAAAGAGGATGAAAAACAAAACCATGTGGACCGTTCTAGATGAACAGCATACATTTGAGTCTGTTCCTATGTTTGTCCTGAATGGGACTGACAGGGAAACAGCGGAAGTTCCTGCCAGTGCAGAATGCTTCCTGCAGAATCTAGCTTTCTGCCAAGACAGTATCTTTGGGTTAGGTATTAATTTTTGTTGCAGAACACAGACTTCTATTTGTTCTGTTATTATCAAGATACAGATAGTGGTATCTACAACTTTGAAGTTGTTCAAATGCCTTCTAGTTCACATTACAATCATAATCCCTTGAGATATGTCTGGCGTTATGTATTCAATTTAAGGCAGAAGTGGACTAACTGCAATTACAGTAGGCCATAGTTTCTAATAGTACAGTAGAACAACAAAGAAACAAAATTGCCACCAGTGTATAGAAGGGATACTGTCCCTAGAACTAAGAATCTACATGCGCTTCTTGGAAATATTCAGGATTAAGAAGGTTTTTCCAATTCCACATAGAAAGATTTCCTTTGTAGCCCTTAAAAAAAAAAAAAAAAAAGAGTGAAACAAAACCCAGTGCATGTCAGAGAACAACTATGCATGTTGTGCCCTAGAGCTATTTCCAAGTCAACAGTCAGAGCACTTACCTGGGATATATAGAAATCAGATACAAGTTCCTATTAAGCCCAGTTAGGATTTGAGTACTGAATCCTGAATGCCTTCACTGCAGACAGGCTATTTAATATTTTTGTATTGCTAGTCTGAAATCTAGTCTTGAAGAAGGCTTCACAGATTTCTTGAAAAAAAATTAAGTCCAAAAATAAAACAGAATGTAACCTGAACATGAAAGCACGCAACTGATTGTGAAGATCCAGGTTCTAACTTACATATGCTGAATGCAAATATTTCAGTTTGTATGCTTAGAAATGAGCTATTTCACAGTTCTAGGGGAAATAATGTATTCTCCTCCTAATCAGCAAAACCATGTTGGGCCTAAGAAAGCTCTTGGGGGCGAGGGTTGGGGGGTGTTGTTTGTCAAAACCATCAACTGCCCTGGAAAAATCTTCAGTTGAAATAGGTAATTTTACTTAAATAAGTCAGTTCTGCAAGGCAATTCCTAATAATTCATGTTTGCCCATACCCAGAACCAAAAGCAGTAACTTTTAAAGCGAGCAGAAAAATTTGCCTGTCCCAGGGAAGAATAAAGATCATCAGTGTCTCTTTTTAAGTTATGAGTCTGAGACACATCGTTCATGTTGCCACCATCCCTTCTTCCACTAAACAGCCTATCTAGAAGAAACAGCTCCACATACGCACAGTCACTACATGAAGAGCTCACAGGACTGAAATTCCTGAAGCAAAATGGGAAATAAGTAGAAAACTTCCTTTCTATATGCTGGGGCATTTTACATTCTGAATGGTGTCAGAATGAAACACTCTAAGTATCAGTAAGATATGAATCAGGAGTAAAATACCGAAACATTCTTTCCTCTAGGAAAGTCAGGCTTACCCTGCAATCCAGCAATGGAGTTCTTCTGTAGAGAAACTATTCTTCCATGTGTTTTTTTTTAATGTTTCCTTTACAGACAATTGGCTTGGAGTAAATTATTTTTTTCCGAGTCATACTTTTCATGCAACTTTTACTTACATACCTATATTTTACATTAAAATCCATTTCAACCGTGGCCCTACTTATTCAAAGTTCTTAACATGGAATTCTTACAGTGACACAAATCAGTTCTTGCACATGCAAATGAGCAAATACATTACTGTCCTTCCAGCTCTGTTTACATCTGTTTGTCCAACTCACTGCACCAGAACCATGCATTTATCTTGTGAGCTTGTATTTGCATCTTAAAACTGTGAATACCACATCCCCAACATGCTAAACATACGCAAAACACATACTTACAAGTCAAAGACTAAGTAATGGAATCCTTCTTCTGATATGCTGTCATGAAGCCGCACTATAGAAAGGGGGGAAAAAAAGATAAACACCAGTCATCTTTTTCATGTCTTTAATGTCTGTCTTTGATTTTGGGGGAGAAGGGAGGCTTATAATTCTACTGTAGAGCTGGTATTGCATCTGTGTGTGTTCTCATCTGGGGGGGGTGTGTGTGTTTTTTTTTTCTTTACCCTCAGAATCATCTTTTTCATAAGGTGAGATAAAACTATGCCACAGAAGAACGCTGCAGTCTTTTCCTACCACCTCCTGCATGTATGGGCACATACACACACACTGCACCTTGCCTTTGCCCTTCATGCTGAATCGTGACTAAACAAGTACTAAAAGCACAGTCAGACTTCATCTTAATATACTGTATTAATATGATTCAACTACTTTTTTCCTAGGCAGAACCTCTGCTCAATGTTTTAAATAGTATACGCAGGAGTCCCCAGTCACTGGACTTTTATTATCTTAAACCAGTATTCTTAATGTGACACACAACTATTTTCTCAGCAGTATTACATCTTAAAAGTTTTAAACAAGATGGGGAAAAAAAAGAAGCCACAATTAATCATAGATTTCAGCAGAATAACAAACTTTAAGGGCTATGTTAAGAAATTCCATCATCAGACAATAGATGCTGATTCTGAAAGAGAAAGCATCACTGCAAACAAAAAGCATTTGACTATACTAAAATAAATGGGGTCAAAAAGGGAGTAAGCTATATTCCGGCTCATATTTCTATTACATATATATCTATTTCCCTCTAATCTTCTGACCTGCCACCCACTTCAACCACATGAATGGTGAAGAGCCGCAAAGCGATAAATCTACTGGCAGATTGATGCCCACCAATCTACACTGAATTTCCACAGTGGCAGCCAAGACCACCGCTGAGAGACTAAAGCGACGGGACTGGGAGTAGCCACCCCCCTGCTGTGGGTGCTCAGCCAGACCTACAGACAGCAAGGGTGGGCAGGAAGAGAAAAGGAGTGAGCGCTTGGGCGTGTGACAGGCGGCAAGGTAACTGCCTCTCATTAAATCACTGTGAAGAGCCCTTTCTGGAAAGATGTAAGATGCATGAAAGGACCTGCCAGAAACAAAAGGATGTGATGTCTAGAACATAGTCATTAGCTTTCCCAGTGCTTGTCACAGCCAACAAACTTACAGCATCCTAAAGATTAAAACCCCACGCCATGTTTACATACACCTATGTATCCATATCTAAAGTTTTCCCTGAAAAAGCACTAGTCAGCTGCAGAACCTTCACTTTGAATTTTAAGAATTCAAATCACATCATGGTAGAACTATGAATTAAGTCCTCCGATTTTTCTTAATTACTTTAAATGTAATGGCAATTTCCAAAGCTAATTTTCCCACAACACGTGAAGCTTTGTCAGTAGTTTGATCCAAATCATTATCACTTACAGAACCAAATAAAAAATAGCAGGGTACCCTAAAACTGCTTCGTGTTCAAAACTGAGCTGATGAAGAAAGTGTAAAAGAAAAGGATTTTCAGATTTCCCTAGATGGTAGCTTTATGTATTTATCATTTTTTATACAATACATGACATTTAAAAAAAAATAAGATCAAATAAACATGACTTTTTTACTTAATAATATTTAGCCCAGGGAAACATCTTGTGTTTACACAGTACTGAAGAGAAAACCAGCTCTTGGCTGACTCACTGCCCAGAGCTTGTGATGATTCAGAAGAGCCAAGTAGGTCTAAATCAGAATTTGTGGTTTTGGCTAGTTCTACATTCTAGATTTGCCTTAAGTTTTTACAAAGTGCAAGCCTTGAGCATAAAAGACCAAGGTAATACATTGCTGCCACTCTCCCCCAACCAAAACCAACTTACTTTCTGGTTGCATTACTCTGAGTTGAGATTTCAATACCCCCAAACGTCTGGTCTTTAAAGCAAATCAAATGTGAGATGAGACACCAGGTACTAGCCTAGAACAGTACCCTGAAATTTCTAGTTCAGAACAGAGACCCCTAAAACATCTGGCTTTTGAGTACACTACTTCGTACAGTAGCATCAAAGATACTACTCGTGAATGAGTGCACAGAAATGGGATTTAGTACAGACCCTTGGGTATGTCACAGAGATGCAACATAACCCTAAAATAGTAAATTTTGGAGTGCAGCTAGTATGTTTTGCATATACCTCTCAAAAAAAGTTTTAAAAACTTTTAAAGATTTAATACATAGCAAATTGTACCTTTTGATAGAAACTGCCTGTTCCTGAAATAGATTCATAGCAACTCAAAGCATGGTTCTTCTGTGCAGACTTTCTAAATTCAAAGCAGCATTCCTCTCCTTGCTGCTTGCTAACAGGATTCGATTCAAACAGGCAGAAGCCTTCATATTCCATTTCCCATATCATGTACGGATATTGAGAACTACCAAATACTTCTGGTGAGGCAGAATATTTGCTGCCAACTGCTTTCAAAGAGCTCTGAAGCATGTAAAACAAGCCAGATTTTTGAAACATCTTTAGTGAACTGAAACAAAGTATTAAATCTTAAAATTTAGAAATTAAATCCACCTTTAAAGTATTACTTTGGTATTAAAACCAGACAGTCTTGGCTTAAGCTTGTGGCTACAGAACAGTCAACAGCCTATATTCATACGCATACTTACTCTGTTTTCGTGGTTCACTCCTACTGCTCCAGCGTGGATTTGCTAGCAACCAGTTGAAGCAAAGGACTGTATTTTTAATTACCGCTGTATTTTTCAAACACAGAATGACTTGCTTACACGCATTTATGAGAAAGTCATCTCCTAGGTAAGAATGAAGTCAGCATGAACCTACAGTCATTAAGGCACAGTTTTAAAACTGTGACCCTGAAGCGACAAAGTCATAGGAGAAGAATAACCAAAGGCATTTCATTGCCTTTGGTTCAAGGCAATACAAAACCCCTCTCTTGCTCTTTTTTTTTTTTTCCTTTTTTTTTAAATAATCATGTCTACCACTTGTACTGCTAGGAATATCCGTATTTAAGCCTATAAAACTTCGTATTTATACAGACTGAAATAGACACACTATTACCGCTATGACATACAGATACCAGAAGCTCCATACAGAACAGTAGCATATTCCTACTATGTCAGAGAAGATAAATACCTTACTCAACACCACACAGCATATGAAAACTAGAGCCAAGAGTACAAGTTCTGTCTTGGATAGAGGCATCTGTCATACTCCTGTCACTAAGCAGACCGGCCCAGCACCACGTGAAGGGGCTTCTAGAGCTTCGCTGCCTGCCTGAAACGGGAGGTCCTCTTCTTTGTCACATCCTTCTCTAGAAGAGGGCTTCTTTGTTCAGTGTCACTGCAGAACCATAGCTCCCTTCTGACTAAAAAAGCACTGCTATTTGACATGATGGATGACGTTTTTTCTCAGCCTGGTGAGGCTATGTTGTTACTAGCCAAACTCTAGTCTCACATGTCCATGGGGATATCTTCTTCAAGGATCATGTTCTTTCTTCTTCTTTCTTCCCAAATGTCTGAATCATAGAAGTGAGATGGGATAAATCTTTCTCTGAATCAGGATCACATGCCCCAGATTGTCTCTGAAAAGGAAAACAGGCTGAGGCAGCCAGTGAAGATCAAAACTGCCTTTTGGCAAGTGCTTATGTTTGCTTCTTTGGTCAGTTCAGATACAGTTTTATGTCAGTAAATCTGCTAGGTGAAAATCCCAAATAAGCATGGGCGAAGGAGAAGAATCTGTGGAGAAGACAAGACAGCCTGACAATCCGGAGTAAAGGGTGCATGACAGCACAGAGGCAAGTCCAGCATAGGCCAGACTTCGCTAACTGCATTCTGCCTGCAACTCAGCTTTTCACTGAGAAAGACAAGGGATGTCATGATGACAATTTAAGAGGCTATTCACAAAGTTTAAGAGGTGATTCACTACAAAAAGTACTCGTGTATTCAATGCAGATATATATAGTTCTTTACACACACGTATCAGGCAGGATTCAGGCACGACAAACCAAAAGGCAGCAATTACAAAGATTATTCATCCAATATAAGAACTCCCATCAGTAACCCACACTGCAATTCCTATTCCTCCAGAGACATGAAAAGCATTCATGAGTAGAAACAGTTCCATTTATCTTTTTTTAAAAGATTACAGTTAGACCTAATCATTATTAATTGGAGTTGTTTCATGAGTGCTGTCATGAACAAACACGTTATATGGCAGAAAGGACACGAGTAATTTTTTTGCTCTCCTGTCTGCTGTGGCACTACGGTCATCTCCTCCAGTGGGTTACAGAGAAGGTGTTTAACATCCTTTGACAACAAAGTTGTTGCTCTTCAGAAAACCGCTTGAAATGCCTGATAGGAATCCAGGGAGCACACAGCTCCTTCTTTTGGAAAAATACTATAAGCCCACAAAAGATCAGGAATATTCCTTTGGCTTCAGCACCGATTTTCATCTGAAATACTTTCCAATTACCACTCTGTGATAGTCATTATAATAATTTAAGGGAGAACTCCTATTGGCTTTATTAGCTTTGTATTTAGCCATTAGTGTGAGCAAGTTCCAATCAGATAGAAATGTAAATCATCTCCTTTATTTGACTTTTTGTGCTGAACTATAGTATTTTGTGTCCATTTTACAGAAAACAGCTTGATATAACGGCCAAGCAACCTTATTATCTCCTTTCTGAATTTCTGCCTTTAAAGAAAAAAAATAAAATAAAAATAATAGTATTCCACATACTTTCAATGAAATTCTTCCAGGTAATTCCAGCTAATTCAAATTCTTCCAGGTAAGGAGACAAGTCAAGCAGTAGATAAAGTCAGATAAAAATTCTTCAGGATAAAGATATCTAATCTTATCTAAAACTATTGCCTAAAAAATTTATTTTTGTGAAACTGCTGAAGTGGTAATTTTGATAAATTTGGTATCTGATTTAGTTCACATTACAAAGACAAAATATTTGAGAAGACTGAACTTCAAACAGAAGTTACGATCCATGGTCAGTACAGCAGCTGCACAAATG